CTACAGTATTAAATTATTTAAAATACAAATAAAAACCAATGTATTATCTCAATTGATCTTGATATTTTAGACTGACCGGAGGCCGTATTTCTACAGGCCCATTGGCCCTGACCCCCTCCAGCAATTACAGGAGGAGTGCCACGACTTCCACGGTGTCTAGACCCTCCACGAATACCTTGGATCTTTTCTCCAGCATGTAGAAAAACCACCGTACCCTCATCCGTCTCTGACACATCAACAGATGTTCCCCATACCCCGGCTAATTACGCTGTTGAAGTACTACATCCAAATTTCGGTACAAATCAAGTCATCGCGCTTACTGGTTCCGCCTATGATACTTCCGATCTAGGCCAGCCAGCACATACCGAGTGCATCCGTGGTCTGGTGCGGCATTAGCTCACCCCCATCCTCGCTCCTCGACCGAATCATGACGGGTAACCTGGTCCTACTCGGTATTTCATACTCTGCACTAACCCATTCCACGGCAATACACGACATCCGTACCACAGTGATGGGTACACTACTTAGTAGCTCAGCAAGCGAATACATGGCACATTCAATGGTGTCAGAGTTTTGTCAGCACCGGCCTGAATTCACCCAGCACATATCCTCCATCGTCGACTCACTTGGCCGAAACGAATCAGGAATTACATAGTTAAAATCTTGCTTGCCCTCTTTGATAAAGACCAACAAAGAGTCCGACCACGGAGGGTGTCCAACCGTCGTATCCCCATTCAACAAGAACGTATCAAACCCATGGGGTATGACAAACGGACGTGCTTGCAACATAGGTACGAGTCCACGCATCCACTGTGTTTCTGGCCCAAGCTTCAAACGGGAATTTATTGTCCACTTCTTCCCATCGATCTTTCCCGAACCACTACAACGGCTATGAGAGCCATACTATATGTACATACATTGTAGTTGAAATAAATTATATTATCTCTATTATTTATATACTATATTTGAGACACTAAATATTGACACCGCCAACTGTCTTATGTTTTGAGTAGCACATATTTCGGATGTCTGTTGTCAGGTAAAGTAGGTTTTCGTAAAATTTGTTTTTAATAATATATAAACTCTGTTAGTGGTTCTAAATCTAGTTTGACGGTTCTAAACTTAGTTGGACTTTGAGTCCGAAAATCCTCCCTGAAACAAAACAGGGGTTCGTTGAAAGACGGAGTTAGCAACTATTACGTGAGACTACCGAGGTTTGGTGGAATAGAAGAGGGTAGGAAATGTTTCATGGTAACTTGTGTCATGGAACGAGGATGTAGGTGGAGAGAAGACGCATCAGAAGAAATAACTCGTTTCATGGTCCTGACTGACAGGAGTCACTTGAGACTTCGTGGCAGGGATATTAGTCATTAGCATGTCCTGAAAATATTCATGTTTCACTTTTGGTAAGAAGGTCGGAGGGATTCTCGTTTTTTGATATATCTAAAAGGTCAATCATGTTAGATCGAACACCATCTCTTATGTAGTGTTATCTGATATATATATGCTTGAGTTCTTTTGGTGCTCCTGTGCCTAATACCACCCGTATAGCGCTTTGGTTGCCGCAATGAAGTATAGTGGGGAGTGTGAGGTATCTGTCCGAGTGCAAACATAATGTTTCTAATCCATGCAATGTTGCGAACGGTTTCTGATGCTGCAACATATTTTGCTTTACTCGAACTAAGCGCAACAGTTTCTGTTTAGCACGCTCCCAGTATACAGGTGTGCCGTTGACACAAATGACTATGCCAGACTGAGTCGATATCAGTGTAAGCGGTAAGTGCTGTATCGGTTGTTGGGTTGGTCGTTTTGCGATGGTATGTAAGTGTGTAGTCGGGTGTTTAACGAAGGTAAGTTAGAATGCGTTATAATAATGTGACGTGGGCAGTAGAGGGATGAGTGGCAAATGCAGCGAGCTGATTAAAGCTGGCTGCGGTGCCAATTTGTGTAAGATTGGCTGCAAAGCCCAAAGCTCCCGGGAGTTTTCAGTGTAAGGTGGCGCATCGGTGAGTTTGATGGGGTGGAATGCCGGTGATAAGTGTGAATTTGAAGTGAGTGTCATTGAAATCAAAAGTTTAAATCATATGATCGATGTAAGCTTGTTGGTCGATGACAATTTCGTCCGGGTGTTGTCGTATGCAAAGACCGATCAGGTGTTTAACCAGACCCAGGTTTCTCATAGAGTAGTATTTGGATAGATTATTCTAGAGCCATAGATGGGCACTAGATCCACGGCAAACAGCAGGTACAATCTCATCCACAGAAAAAACCCAAGATACATATATTTTCATTGACATCACTTTGCGTAAACCCTAGTGTAGTGAGTTTAGTAGCAATGTCATGATTTCATAATCGCTCAGTTTGCTTTTAACTATAGAGTCCTCGCTTGAGTTTACGAAATATTCCAGGTGGGCAGAAACCTAATTCAGCGGCTTCATCAGAAGGATGCACGTAGACAACCGTGTCAAGTTTGAAATCTAAGAAAGCAGTGTCAACATCATAGTGGAAAACGTCAAGGTTTTGATAGAAACATACGGAGTGTGGTTGATGTGGCAGCTGGAGCATACGTGTTCTGATAAGAGTCATCTTTAATCTGCTGATCACCATGTGCAACCATGCGAGCTTTGTAAACTATTGGTGTGCAGTGTTCATTATGTTTGCGGACTTACGGGGAACATGTGTGATGAGGATAACATCGGCCCGGTTGTTTTGAATGTGAGCTTGATGTTCTTTGTTTATTGCGGCAAACCAGTGGTCCCACTCTGATGTTTTGCGGGCTTGTTCACAGTTTTGGGGATGGTCTGACACAGTAAAGTCGATGCCTCAAGTAGCGTCATGGTGGAACCAGTGATGGCAGTGACACTGCGGGCACTAGGAATAGTTGTAGTGGATTCGTCACTGAAAATCATATCCACATCGGAATATGTTGAGGTATGGTGAAGATCATTGTCAGGTAGGTGGCGCTCATAACCAAAATAATGTACAGCAGGAGATATCGAAGGGGAAACAAGAGCAAATGCAGCCAGATTGGGTTCGTACCCAAAGTCGTGAGAGATATGATCATCATCGGGATTCAGGTAAGCGGTCGGCAGGAAGTCATCAAGCAAGGTATGTGTTTGTGCGGTGGAGTTGTTGTGATCAGAATGGGCTCGCGCAATTGTAGAGAGTTGGCTGTCGTATGAACTAGTTACATGCGATACGTTAGGGGAGGCATCATCTTGTTCACGTTGTGCTTGTCGTGCCATCATGTAACGATTAAATGTGCCATTAAGTGGAGGGAATTAGGGTAGTTTTGCAAGTGATTGTTGTCCAGATGCAATAGATTGTTCGAGAGTAGAACAGATATGATCAAGATTACCTGCAATTACCGGACAAGAAATCTGAGGACGGCTTTAACCATTTAGAGAGCATGCGGTATATACTATTAAATAAGGCACCTGAAACCCCTTTAATAAGCGTTACAGAATCTAAGATTCCAGTGGTACTTAATCAGAGGTATTGGAGGACCCTCGACAAACCGCGGGTCTTTGGACTGCAATTACCGGACAAGAAATCTGAGGACGGCTTTAAACATTTAGAGAGCATGCGGTATATACTATTAAATAAGGCACCTGAAACCCTTTTGATAAGCGTTACAGAATCTAAGATTCCAGCCTAAGACTATTAATCTGAAACAATCGGACTGGGACACTTGTCTATATTTTCCCGCTCCTATCACTTTCTACTTCGGTCTATATTTGTTTTAGATGTCAACAACTTTGACCGACAGGATATTGATTGGATCGCTTCACGCTTGAAGCCAATTGGGAGTGGTGACAAAGTCCTGCATACTATCTGCTTGACGGTATAATTATATTGCATAACAAGCTTGTGATTTCAACATAAGATTATAGATGATACATGAGAGTTGGCCAGAAAGCAATCTCGGGTTTTATGGAGAATAGCCAAACCATGCGGCCGTTGCCCTTTAGAGTTTGGCTTCGGAGAAAGTTCTACGAGGGCTTTAAGATTGCCGTTGTAAAGGCGTTTGGCGGGCTGGTGCCAGGTCAGTATGGTCATAAGTGCAGTAATTGAGGACTTGGGTGTTGAGTTTAGTGGCAAACATGACAATGTCGATAGACCTGTGTGGCATGCTTGTCACAACTGTCGCAGTATATGAGGGGTGAATGAGCGGTGATGTCTTTTAGGTCTGCGATGTCTTTAGCAGCTTGGAGTGACTGGTGGTCAAAGCGGGCGAGATAAAATAGATTGAGCATGCGCCGATCGATATATTGAACTATGTAGCGTGTAGAGGTATGATATATGCACATATATCACATTCACACATATAACATGCACTCTCGTTTTATAATGTGCATTTCCAGCTCACTTCAATGAATAATCATAAAATGATATTTGCTTGGAAGTGTTGGTGACTGGAGAACAGCTCTAAAAAAGATTTGTTTAGCCTTTAGATTACTGATATCACGTACAAATATATATATTCACATATCCCTTTCAATAGGAGTCTTCGTACATATTTCAGACGATTTTATTGATATCTGTAGTCTAACTGCTAGCTATAGTGGACTGGAGGTGTTCGCGCCTCGACACAAGTTCTGAGTATCTCTCTTGTTCGGCGGCCAACAGCTTCTCTTGACGCTGCGTTTCCCTTTCCAATGCCTGTATATAGTCAGATGAGACGAAGCACATTCATGTATCAATAATACGTTTCAAGTTTTGAAGAATAGGATCCACTTTGTGCCATCAATGCGAAGCGTGGCGTGAGTGGCTAACAGATCCATTCTGCTGGTGATAGACGCTAGCATGCATAAATATGTACATATGCAGCTACATAGACGCTCATCAGATCCAGATAGACAATCAATTAACAATTAGAAATTCCACATACATGTGTAAACGCACATACAGATCCACACACATAGAAAATCAAGTCTTTGAAACACACACTTCGACCCAGCAGAAGATCGATGCTTGCTCGGCTGCTCTATGTGTTAAAAACCAGCTGTGCTCAACGCACGGGTACGTGAACATACGTACAAACGCACAATACGTACATACGCTTACAAGCAGCTTATACTCATGCATGCGTGTAAACTCTAACGTAACCCACCTCTACTCTGCCGGTAATAGACGCTTGCTCGGCTGCGCGTAGTGCAGTGAAGCACTTGTAGTCAATACTGGCCTGTAACAGTTGTTCGTTTGCTGTCTTAATTTCTTCCTTGAGCGTTTCGGCTCGTTTCTGGAATTGGACGCAAGAATATCCGAGGTCAAACCATAGCAACGTGATCACTCCGGTGCATAGGAGCGTAGATTAGGAGGAGTCTATGTGCAAGCATTGTCGTTGGATTAGCTTTGATGATTAGGTATACGATGTCGATGTGCACCTTCAAATACCAGCTGATCTAATACCGAGTTCATTGCATTTCAGGACGTTGAAAGTCCCGATTTATAAGTATTGGGTTCAAGATGTCTAAACGGACCGACAGGACTTTGGTAAAAAACAACTTGCACGTGCAACAGCCAGGTAGACATTCTTGCTATCTACAAAAACGTAGCAGCCCATTTGTAGCCCTCTCACTTCAGTGTGCAAACGAGAAAACTAAAACTACAAAACATAGATAGAGAGAGATATATATATATAGGTATAGGTATAGATATAGATGTGTAAATTATATAGATATAGATATAGACATAGATGTGTAAATATATATAAAGTGTAAAGGCATACGATACGGTTGATATTACTAAATATAGATGTGTCAATATATATATATATATAATGGCATACGATATGGTTGATATAATTAAATAGGGACCCACAGGCATACCTGTATAGATATACACACACAAATACATATCCGTATGCGTCTAAACCTACGATATCTGATAGATACACTCACCTGGAACCCAGAAGTATACATAGCTGCCTTCTTCTCCAATTTGGCGGCCTTTTTGTAGCCGTCTTTTTTGAGCCTGTCCATGATACTCTTGAACTCTTCCTTCCGAGCCGCTAATCTTTCTTCAGGTTTTGCCAGAGTCACACGTCCAAATTTGTTCTATATATATATATATATGTATATATCAGTTTAAATATGGGGTAACGGAAATGTGAGCGTGTATCTGTGACATAAATTCAATACGTTTGCTTGACGCTAATCAGTGTTCAGCTTTCGCAGGAACCACCAGCCCGAGAGTAGCCTATCTATTGAACCTCTACTTATGGAGACCCTACGAATATATTACCTCTCTAAACACAGGTCTGAAGCTACATACATACCTATGCAGTTATAATGTGTATAGAACAGATCATATACGTGCGTATAATAGTACCCAAAACCAAACAAATTCTTTATATACGCTCATTGTAGTATCTGGTTCATGGATGAATTGCAGTGACCAGACTTGCGTTGCATCCGTACCAGCAATATAGATAAAACCAGCGAACATCCACTAGGTCGGGACACAAAAAAGCACTCCAGAACCCCAAGCCTGATCTGTCCTGCCCTCAATGTAAAATAAGCCGCATACTAAAAGGGACATGCTGAATTTTTAGAGTAACTTTTGGTTCGTTTCAACTTAATAATGTCCTACGGCCTTTAGATTTGCTCTTATTTCGGGGGCAGGAAATAGAGTTCCTGCTATCCTCCCATGCCTCCACAGGAAGCCTAGAAGTAGACCAACATGTGCTATATACCGCTCTGCACCCAGACAATTCCATACCCGACGATGTATTGGTCAAATGATATAAATATAGCTACATACCTGAGTAGGTATGTAGGTAATTTGGTTCCGGCTCTTCTCCCATGTTTCCACGCAAAACCTCTCAAACTCAGCCATGGCCATGTCGCCCATTGCTTCCTGTAATATGAGGTTAGACTCCTCCGCTAACAGCTCACGCGCCTGTGATAGTGTGTACATGTGTTGGAAAAGGCGCGATTAAGTATCGAGTGGATATACAACTCGAATCTTGAATACATAGAACCAAAGGATATATTATGACATATGACTCCACCAGGATGTACGATGTATCTGTTTCGAATACAACGAAAGGATATGGAGGTTCAATTGTGTAGACTGACACTATACCCATGAGTAATCCAATTCGATCAATAACTAAGTATTGTTATGAACAGAAGACAAGAGCAAGACGAAGATACAATCAGGATTGCGCTTCTGTCGTGGCAGCCTCAGTTCATAGTCGTGCTGCGGATATAAACACACAACACATACGATTGTTCTACCCATACTAATATCACACTATTAGCACAGACACAGACACACAGACACAGACACATATATATATACTAATACAGACGCACACGGGCACACACAGACACACACACACAAGACAAGACAAGACAAGACAAGACAAGACATTTATATATATATCTATATATATACTGGAGGGGAGATACATACATTCTGCAGATCCTCATCGCTAACTTCGGAAACATTTCCGCCGATCTTGGGCCGATGCCCACCGACAGGGTACTTTTTAGCATCGCGTCTGAGAAGTTGTACCATCTCTTTACAAATAAGCACATCCGCAAAGTGGAGATCGGTGACATGACCCGACAGGTCAGCAACGCCTGTAAAACAATACCAACGAAGCAGATTCGATTCGTAATTAATATGTACATATGTAAACTCAAATGTAGAATCACGTATCACTATATATATATATATATAGTCCATATTTCAAGAGTTCGAGCAATGGCATCACCTTTTCAGATATACCCATATCTACAATGTGGAGATCGGTGGCACCGACCGCTTATAACATTACAGGTATCTATCCACAAATACAGAAGTATATACACAAATACTGCCGCGTCATAGAGGCTGAAGTATTTACATCATCGCTTTACATAAACGCACATCGCTATACGGCAATATATGACGTGGCCTGAAATATCAGCGCCGCCTGATGGTAATCATCAATCGTGTATAGCTAGTTTGTGATACTGTATTTGCGTATGTAGACGTATACATATACATATATACACACACACATATATATAGATATATATATATATACATATACTTACACGCACACACATATATATATATATGTATATATACATCGTAAGTCTTCATATACAAGAATTGTGTATGTGCACACGCTCACTTTTATGAACAATTGCGTACTCAACAGGTATGTCGGATAAGCCTGTGCATTCATCCTCGGCGATACTTAAACAAGATCGCGCCGCGAACCATTTCGATGTCTAGCAACCTCACACATCCAAAACGAGAGTATATATATAATATACATATATATATATATATGTATATGTATATATATAAATATATATATATATATAGTTGTGTATTTAATATATATATAGTATCAATCTTAGTCTCACGCACATAACTTTACAATACACTCACCAGCCTGTGCATTCACTCTCGAGGGTCTGGGCAAACCGCGCTTGAGCGCTTCCGATCTTCGGGACAGTTCGAGTTCCAACGCTTTCGCCTCCGCGGCCTGTCGTTGCGCTTCAATTTCCTCTGCGTCTTCTTCTCGCATCTGCTACAGTGAAGTGAAGAAACGGTTGTATTTTTTTTTGGCAGAAATAAGTGTATGTGGTCGTATGCATAAGCACACATTAGTATGTATATCTACGTACATTTACACACACACGTGTTCAATATTAATTAATATCGTACACCAACAAGGATCAGTGTGTATCAATAAGGAGAACGGTGTATTCCACTGCAAGCACCCACACACCATTGTCGTGTCTTCACCTGCGTCCTCCATCATATCTGGGACAACAACTTCGAAGTCGTTCTTTGGTTTGGGCAGTGCTCTGAGGCCAGCCAGCAGTCCCGTTTTGTTGTTCATCATCTCATTTCTGTGGCGAAATTAGGATTAGAATTAAAAAAAAATTCGGTACATTTCTGCGTAAAATTTGGGATTGAAAATCTCACTACTTCTTTTTTCTTCTGCGGCAAATACAGGATGCTTGCCACGTATATCAGAGCCTTTCTTTCCCTATCTGTCACTTGCAAAATACAACAACAAACAAAAACAAAAAACACGCGAGTTCTTTCATTCTTTTAAGGCGTTCAAACACGTATCCGTTCTCATCACACGCCTAACGAGGGGTTGCCACATACGTCCACACTGAGATTGATGGACTGGCAGTTGCACACACACCTGGAAACAGAACCCGGCGTCTCTCCCGAATCGAATCGGTTGATCCTCAATGAGTCTCGTGCGGGTGTGGGCGCCAAACGACCGTCACCCAATCGCGGAGTCATTGGTATTGAAGGCGCTTGACCGGGTAAAACAGACCCTGGTATGCATTCGAATATCAAGTAGTACAAATGTACACCATTTATAAGTAAGTGTAGATATACGATGAAATTGTATTGGACTTACAATATAATGAATACACAATGGATATATATATATATATATATATGTATACGAATACATATATCTCCAGTGTGGCGCGTGTTGGGTGCCAGTCAACCATCGCCCAGACGCGGTGACAAGGGTATTGAAGGCGTTTATCCGGGTAAAGCAGACCCTGATATATATTCAGACACAACTGAGACGGTATGGAGAGCCTGCATGTAACTTAAGGTGGGATGGGCACACATACATATGAAGCTACGTTGGGAGATATACACTGGTATAGTAATGATAGGTACACATATGAGAATATAGACCCCTACAGGCGACTACGTACATTCGCATCAGTTTCATATTCACATGTCGAGATGGGCGTGTGTCCGTTAGACAGGCATTCTGGGCGTATACAATATGATTTCGTGCAGGGAGTGAGCAAAGATACAAGCAGTTACGTAGGCAAACTATACACATACGCAATATTTACAGGCACACATCCTGGCATCTTAATACACGTTTAAATACACAAGTTCAATATACATGACAACCCACATACCGGGATGTGCAGGTGTCCCCAAGACGGTATTGGGTGTCTGTAAAACACTTCGTGCGGGGGTAAGGCCCTTGAAACTCGAATTGTTGAGATTAACATTAGCACCCCCGAGCAAGGGCGTTTCCGTGTTGGTGAGTGCGATTAAGTTCTGCGCTTCTTTGAGGATGGTATCCTATGGACATACGGGTGTGCAAGTATGAATGACGGTATGTTAGTAGCGTATGAATATGAATATGTATTATTGTCGTATACACAGAATCCAGTAGAAGAACTCGTCTCTAATGTTGATTGAGTGGGACATCGACTCTAACGAGCAAAAATGGTTCTATATCGACCGTATAATATATATATGTACATACACATCTATATCTATATATATATATATAAATAGATAAGTTAAAAAAACCAACACACCAACAAATCAACAAACATTATATTTCTATCGAAAGTATATAAATGTGCATATCCATATTAAACATACCTCCGCTTGTGGCACCCGAGGCGTTCGTGTGGGCATGACTGATGCAGGAGTGGCGGAATAGTCGCTGAGAAGTTCGCCTGTGACTTCACCATCCGCCTCGTCTGATATGGCCATAGATTGCGCACCCACTTTGACGATACGTTCTAGTTCAGCGTCCGATACCTAATGTAATAGTGAGTATACGACAAGTGTGGAATACATATCAGTATGGATTCACAACATAGATTAGTACACGAAGTCGGAGATGATATATAAACGCCCCTACCTACCCATTCCACATCTGATATCCGATAGTATTATAAGGGGGTGGCGGCTAGAACATACCCTTAGCACAGCAGAGAATTGTTAAACTCATGTAAACGGACAGTTTTATGGCTGCCAAAGATGCAAACGGAGACATATATGCCCAAGCGGACTAGACGCATATGCGCGAGAGAACATATGCATGGGGTTGTACTTTAACTGGAAACGTGTCTTATGCACGTGTAGAATCTCGTTTGATACACTTTGTGTTGCAGTCTGTGATCCTTCTTTCGCAGGAATACAGCCTCACATGCCGCCCAACCAACCATGTCTTCGTGTTCACTTTAATCACAAGCCTGCAAAAATACATATGGCTTATACCAATACAGGAAAAACACACATAAATTAAACTAATAATTAAATGTACATATGGTTTATATACATACAGGAAAAACACACATCAATTAAACTAATAATTAAATGTACATATGGTTTATATACATACAGAACAAACACACAAAAATTAATAATTAAATATACATGTGGTTTATATACAAACAGAACAAAACGCACATAAATTAATAATTAAATGTACATATGGTTTATATACATACAGAACAAACACACATAAATCAGATATTAAATGTACATATGGTTTATATACATACAGAACAAACACACACAGATTAATAATTAAATGTACCTATGGTTTATATACATACAGAACAAACACACACAAATTAAAAAATAAATGTACATATGGTTTTTATACATACAGCATAGACATAAATTGAAACAAATGCACAGTTTCTGAATGCGTACCTGGGGCGCAGGTAGCACCAATTTGGTCCTCTTACGTTGTGGTTCGTTATCCTTATTAAGCAGTTTAATAGCCTCTCCCATCGCTTTGCTCTTCCTGTCCTTACTCTTCTCCTTGTCTTTTTTCCGCAGTTCGGCTTCCTCCTTATCTCTGCGCTTGCCTTCCAGTTGCTCTAAAGTTTTGGCTTTGAACTCAGTGTTACTCTCCATCACTCGCTCGTTCGAGGTGTCGTAGAAGCCTACAGGAACCTATTGTAAATGAAATAAAAATCGAGAACCTCAGCATACTCAAATGTACAATCGGGTATTCGCAATTCCGATTTGATTTCAGAGCGAAATTTGTGCAGTTTCTATGGTTTGTACGCTGATACACTCAGAAATAGCAAGCTAGGTTGCTATATATATATATGTATATTTATATATAGGTTACTGTATATAGTATACCATACATACATACATACATAAATATATATATATATACGTATACACACACACACACACATATATATATAAATAAATATATATATATATATAGTACACAGACACACAGACACATACACAGACATATATATGTACATCCATATATGTATATATATACTATAGAAAATATAAAAGGTAGCAATTCTATTGCCTCGAATAGGTGTTAGTGTGAGGGTATGTTCTAACTCATATCCATTAGTGTATCCTTTGTATTGATAGCTCCATTCAATAAATTTACATACATATATGTGACTGCTGGTATATTTAATACGCCATTAGATATTGTAGATACCGCCTACATATATAAACGCAGTTTTCATCTTTTTAACTATATACATATTCTTGGAAGCTCACGCTAGGTTGTATTCACATTAGTGAGAACATACGAATGTACAGACAAACTTACACCATATACCAAGTCACACACTCCTAAATTCAGACAGCTTCGAAAAAGATCCTTCCAGCTTTAACAAACGGTATTTGCACAATGTCATCGATCCTACGCTAGAGAAGACTTCTGTGTTGCTACTGTAGGTTCCCCCACACATTAACATACACATTGCCAAGCCATACGAAGACCCTTACCTTCTTTTCGAAGGGTATCTCCTCATTGTAATCGATCCGATGCTTGCCGAATTTCTGACGCTTCTTTAACTCCACCCCAGCGGCTCTTAATTCGCGGCGTTTCTGCAGCATACTCAACCGGCGGGCCTCTTCCAACTGTTTCTCTCGTGCCTTTCGTTTGGCCTTTTTACCTACATTTTGATTGGATGAATGTTAAAAATTTAAAGTGTGTGAAGGTGTTTTGCTAGTAGTATGCTTGACCGGCGTGCCTCTTCCAAGTGTTTCTCTCGCGCCTTTCGCTTGGCCCTTTTACCTACATTTTAATTGGATGGATGTTAAAAATTAAAAGTGTGTGTGAAGGTGTTGCTAGTAGTATTCTTAACCGGCGTGCCTCTTCCAACTGTTTCTCTCGCGCCTTTCGCTTGGCCTTTCCCCCTACATTTTGATTGGATGAATGTTAAAAATTAAGAGTGTGTGTGAAGGTGTGTTGCTAGTAGTATACTTAACCGGCGTGCCTCTTTAAACTGTTTCTCTCGCACCTTTCGCTTTGCATACTTACCTGTATTTTGATTGGATGGGAAATAAAATACTGCTCCACAAGCTTCCACTCTAATTCTCATTGGAGGCACGCTACCACATCAATCACATACATATATATCTATAAATGTATAAAATACACACACGTATGAGTTTATACACATACACAAATACTACACACACACATGTACGGATATATACTTACCGACGGTGTTAGTCAGACATGCTACCACGTTAACCACACACAAACAGATCTCTATATACATCTACAATACACACATACACATACTACACACAGATACATGTACTGTACGGATATATACTTACCGACGGTGTTAGCCAGACGTGCTACCACGTTAACCACACACAAATATATCTCTATATACATCTACAATACACACATACACATACTACACACACACAAATATATCTCTATATACATCTACAATACACACATACACATACTACACACACACATGCACATATATATACATACCGACGGTGTTCGCCAGACGTGCTCGAGCTTCACTTAGCATTTCCTTCTCATCCTCATCCATATCTACGGGATCAGGCCTGGCGGGTTTGGACTCTGAGTTGGGGTCGACTTCTCCCGGCCTTAGTTTGCGTGGATCTGCGGGAGATGTGGGTGTATACATCTTAAGGATTAAATCAAACATATTTTTCGATGCCGAACATGCATTTCAATTTTGAATCGGGTTTGTGTATATAACTATAATGGCTTTCATGGAAAGCCTTTGACGGGTTTTGACTAAGTTAGACCTAACCTATTTTCGATGCCGAACTTGCATTTCAATTTTGAATCGGGTTTGTGTATAAAACTAAAATGGCTTGTATGTAAAGCCTTTGACGGGTTTTGACTACATCGTGTTTGTGTATATAACTATAATGACTTGAATGTAAAGCCTGACGGGTTTTGACTGAGTTAGACCTAACTTATTTTCGATGCCGGTCTTGCATTTTGATCTTGATTCGGGTTTGTGTATATAGCTATAATGACTTGTATGTAAAGTCTTTGACGGGTTTTGACTGAGTCGGAGTTAACTTTTCCGGCCCAATCAAGCGTGGATCTGCATTACATGTGAACGTATAGATCTTGGGTGTAAATCCCTCTTGTTTAGATCTGTACCCTATATTTCAGATCTGGCTTTAAATTTTGCAGATTCACATATAATGCTAATATGAAGTCTGGCAGGGTTTGATCCCGAGTTGACTTATCCAGGCTTTACAATATATGTACTCGTATCATTGGTGGGCTGCTGAGATTTGTATACATCTGTGCCTTGGGTTTTGGGTTGGATCCATGAAGATATTTAATAAATTGTGTATAGAATCGCACGTGGATGTTTACACAGCACACACTCTATACAAACTCCAAACTCCGCTCAATCCCGAGCCATGTGAGTTGCCTTGGCACACGTGTTTGGCTGTGTGCGTGTGTGTTCGTTTGTAAAGGACAGTGTGCGTGCGTGTGCTTGTTTGTAAAGGACAGTGTGTGTGTGTGTATGTGTATGTATATATATATATGTGTGTTTATCTATATGTGTATGTATGTATGTATGTATGTATGTGTGTGTGTGCGTGTGTGTATGTGTATGTGTATATGTATATATATATATAGTATATATATATATATATGTGTGTGTATATATATATATAATAGTGTGTTGTTATGTATATGTGTGTAGTTTAGTAGTGTAGTTAGTATGTATGTGTGTGTGTGTCGTGTGTTGTTGTAGTAGTGTCGTATACGTAG